ACCTCCCATCTTTCCCCCAACGGCCCCCTTCCGACCTGCCCACAACCTATATTAACCAACAGAGTACACAAATGAACCCAATAATTTTATGTTAAGACCCTTATTTTTCCCCCTTCCCTGGGTAACTATAGGTGGGGGGCCCCCTACCCCCCCCCCCCCTCCAAAAAAAAAAGCTTGTTTAATGCTATACTGACCCCACACCAAAGCCACTGGTGGAACTGCAAAACAACAACAACAAAAAAGAATAATAATAACACTCACACTTTCCTAACTGTAGGATCTGCACTTAAAGGATCTTTAGCTCCATAGACAATGTCATTGAAATCAACAGAACCATGACGACCAAGGTCAACTGGACATGACCTCAAAGAACCATGACGAATTCGCCAGAACCGGATGTTATCATTGCCACAGGAAACCAATCTGTCATTAAAATGACATATAAAGGTATTTAACAAAAAATGTGCACAACTGAATAGGAACAGAAGCGGTTAAAGAATTGCTAAATGCAGATTTTTAGTTTTAACATAAACGTTACTTTTAACTAGTTTGTAAAAGTTAATCTAGCAATCCAAGCAACAGCAAAGACAGGATCTCTGAAAGCCCTGTTTGATGAACAGAATGGTGTGATGCATAAGATAATAAGATAATTGATATAATGTGTATTAAGTGTCATAAAATAATGTCTTTAAAAGAGGTTTCTGGTTTATAACCCTTCTTCAGTGCACAGTAAAACTTTAAACTATGCAAATAAGATTCAGACATTAAATGGAAGCAAAAACGCTTGTAAATAGTAGTGTGTGGGCTCATACGTGCATGTCACAGTTTAAAGGAAGCTCATGAAATTAATATTCAGTCCTTTTAGCTGAACAGACCCTAGGTCGACAATTATCTTCATTCCAAGGTGCTTTCATTGGATATTTGTTTCATTACATAAAGCCATACCCTGCACCAGGACATCAGAAATACTGTGACCCATGGAGTTGAAATCTTGGGCCACAGTAAACCCAGGAGTGTCACAGTATTTCTAATACACTCCTGGGTATCCCGTGAATAGAACCTGTCTTTGCTCAAATGGTATTACAAAATTAATAGTGGTAGCAATAATAACATTATCATACATTTATTGTCAATAATAATTATTATCATAATTATTATTTAAAAATAACATAAAATGGAAAATGAAGCATTATATCCTTTCATTTTTATTAACCAGTACAAAGTTGAAGAAGGACTTCTGAATGACATCAATTGAAAGAAAATATATTTTCCTTTAAAAATGATCTAAATGGAATCACATGTCAAGAGTATAGTATGGACCCGTTACTCTGGTGGGATACCTATTCATGACATCACCTGTCTTACCAGTGATGTATTCCACTTCACTCTTATGGGATTCCAATTATGTCCCTACTATACTACTCATGTCAACACTAAAAGATAGTGTAATAGTGAGGTGAAGAAAAAGTTGATTATTTTCAATTATTAATTTGCAGTACCTGCTGTCATCAAACTCTGCTATCCTCATGCGGCAAATGTCAACATCAGTGTGAGCCTTGGCAATGATAGACATCTCACCACCTCTGACAGCATGGCTTACATCCCACACCACAACCATCTGANCCAAAAAAAAAAGCTTGTTTAATGCTATACTGACCCCACACCAAAGCCACTGGTGGAACTGCAAAACAACAACAACAAAAAAGAATAATAATAACACTCACACTTTCCTAACTGTAGGATCTGCACTTAAAGGATCTTTAGCTCCATAGACAATGTCATTGAAATCAACAGAACCATGACGACCAAGGTCAACTGGACATGACCTCAAAGAACCATGACGAATTCGCCAGAACCGGATGTTATCATTGCCACAGGAAACCAATCTGTCATTAAAATGACATATAAAGGTATTTAACAAAAAATGTGCACAACTGAATAGGAACAGAAGCGGTTAAAGAATTGCTAAATGCAGATTTTTAGTTTTAACATAAACGTTACTTTTAACTAGTTTGTAAAAGTTAATCTAGCAATCCAAGCAACAGCAAAGACAGGATCTCTGAAAGCCCTGTTTGATGAACAGAATGGTGTGATGCATAAGATAATAAGATAATTGATATAATGTGTATTAAGTGTCATAAAATAATGTCTTTAAAAGAGGTTTCTGGTTTATAACCCTTCTTCAGTGCACAGTAAAACTTTAAACTATGCAAATAAGATTCAGACATTAAATGGAAGCAAAAACGCTTGTAAATAGTAGTGTGTGGGCTCATACGTGCATGTCACAGTTTAAAGGAAGCTCATGAAATTAATATTCAGTCCTTTTAGCTGAACAGACCCTAGGTCGACAATTATCTTCATTCCAAGGTGCTTTCATTGGATATTTGTTTCATTACATAAAGCCATACCCTGCACCAGGACATCAGAAATACTGTGACCCATGGAGTTGAAATCTTGGGCCACAGTAAACCCAGGAGTGTCACAGTATTTCTAATACACTCCTGGGTATCCCGTGAATAGAACCTGTCTTTGCTCAAATGGTATTACAAAATTAATAGTGGTAGCAATAATAACATTATCATACATTTATTGTCAATAATAATTATTATCATAATTATTATTTAAAAATAACATAAAATGGAAAATGAAGCATTATATCCTTTCATTTTTATTAACCAGTACAAAGTTGAAGAAGGACTTCTGAATGACATCAATTGAAAGAAAATATATTTTCCTTTAAAAATGATCTAAATGGAATCACATGTCAAGAGTATAGTATGGACCCGTTACTCTGGTGGGATACCTATTCATGACATCACCTGTCTTACCAGTGATGTATTCCACTTCACTCTTATGGGATTCCAATTATGTCCCTACTATACTACTCATGTCAACACTAAAAGATAGTGTAATAGTGAGGTGAAGAAAAAGTTGATTATTTTCAATTATTAATTTGCAGTACCTGCTGTCATCAAACTCTGCTATCCTCATGCGGCAAATGTCAACATCAGTGTGAGCCTTGGCAATGATAGACATCTCACCACCTCTGACAGCATGGCTTACATCCCACACCACAACCATCTGAAACAGTGATAACATTATAACAAATTCAAAGAATGATGTAGTTAAAGGGAAGGTTAACAATTGCATCACACTGTACAGTGTATGGAAGATGGGTGTCTGGTCTGTCTGGGCCTCCACTGTGACCAGCTGGGTCTAGACAGAAAACTGCTCCCATGGCTGGCCATCCTTGCAACTCAGCCATGAGCCCTACGCCGCATGGAGTTGTCCAGGCAATCATCACATATACTTTGTTTACAATGGGAGATAAGGGAATAGGATGTGAGGGGTACAAAGAAACCAAAGGATGCACTCCACAGAAAAAAGTTGCCATGCATCAGCACGCTGAAATGTGCTTTGAGACTTTAACCAAGAATGCTCAGAACATGCACTGAAATCTGAAAGGGGTGAATATGAGTAGCACAAATTCGGAACCACAAAAGGGGTCAATGGCAAGTAACATTCCATTTAATTCAAACTTCCTTCAAATAGAAAGAAAGGACTTCCAACGGCGAAACTCCTTGATCCCTTAGGTACCCCATTGACACAGGAAGCAGACAGTAGGCTGATTTAGCAACAGAATGGGAGCGTCATTTGATGACGGGAAAGCGTGCAGTAAGGACTAAACTTGACTTCCGGTGCCCAATTTGCCGCTGTGCTACTGGTCAACCCAGTTGTTTGATTTGTGCACGCCCTCGGCAACGGACGTTCCTGTTCTGTTGCTAAATCAGCCTAATATTCAAGAGATACATCTTCACCTGTTTGCCATGACCATCTTTTCCAACCCCGCACAGAATGTTTCCACTGTACGATAAACTAAAATATTTGAGAAATAAATAAGGTTGCACTTAATAAAAATGTCATTACTGCAAGGCTGTCACTATAAGGACCGGGGGCAGGGATTTCCCTTGGTTTCTATGAGTATGAACCTTGGCTACTTTCATGCATAGGAAACAAAAGGAAAAAAAAATAAAAAAGAAAAAAGACTCCCTAGATGTTCAATTCCCCACCTACTAATATTACATGTACCCCTGAAATCTTCATGACAGCCCCGTAACTGTCAGTGATGGTACCACTGTAAAGCTCAGAAAACCGTGAACACCAGAAAATTATTTCTGGAATGTTACGGTGTTTTAAGGAAAAAGTACGGCTGGCATAAGAAAACCCAACCAACTGCATGCAACAACAGTAGTTTGTGGTTTTGTGCCTTGCTCGCATGTCCTGATCTTCATTGAGACTGCTCATAACACAATAAACATTCCTGGCATATTTCAAATGTTCGCTTCACAGTTTTGTGAGTTTTGTGACAGTNGCCATGACCATCTTTTCCAACCCCGCACAGAATGTTTCCACTGTACGATAAACTAAAATATTTGAGAAATAAATAAGGTTGCACTTAATAAAAATGTCATTACTGCAAGGCTGTCACTATAAGGACCGGGGGCAGGGATTTCCCTTGGTTTCTATGAGTATGAACCTTGGCTACTTTCATGCATAGGAAACAAAAGGAAAAAAAAATAAAAAAGAAAAAAGACTCCCTAGATGTTCAATTCCCCACCTACTAATATTACATGTACCCCTGAAATCTTCATGACAGCCCCGTAACTGTCAGTGATGGTACCACTGTAAAGCTCAGAAAACCGTGAACACCAGAAAATTATTTCTGGAATGTTACGGTGTTTTAAGGAAAAAGTACGGCTGGCATAAGAAAACCCAACCAACTGCATGCAACAACAGTAGTTTGTGGTTTTGTGCCTTGCTCGCATGTCCTGATCTTCATTGAGACTGCTCATAACACAATAAACATTCCTGGCATATTTCAAATGTTCGCTTCACAGTTTTGTGAGTTTTGTGACAGTAAAACCCCTGCGTGCATTTCTGCCCCACTCAGCACTAAGCGCTTTGTCAATAAACAAATCCAACAAGTTAGTAAATTAAGGTGAAGAAGTATCCAGGTCCCTGCAAGAGCATGGATAAAAATTTGCCCTGATACAATTATGCAACTTAATATTGCTTTGAGAAAAGTTGAACAAAAGAAAAGGTCTTAATTTCAAGGTGTAGAACACCTCTATTTCAAAGGCTGAGGGGGGTATTTTCAGTATTTTTTTAAGGGTTGTCACTTTAACAGCCATTACTACAGGATCTTCAACCCTAAAAAACTTTAAAAAAGATGGCATTATATTTTACCTTATACAGTGAACATTATGAACCTCTGCTCTAAACATGGCAGTGCATTTTCGTGACTGGTATTTCCACATTCTAATAACTGATGGTGAACCAGTTTGAGCAGAAGCTAAAATGTCTGTTTTTCCATCAAATGCAAGTGCAGAAACCTAAAGAAAAAATTCACACACACTCACACACTTTATTAAGCAACAAATGTTAAGCAACATACTTGTGTAACAAACCCCACCTGAAAAGATAAATAAAGCATTCCTGACTTAATATCATAGAGCAAGAAAAAAACAAAATGAATAATGAAATTTGCATGGACCAAGATAATCTTTAAAAGAGTCATTTCCTACCAAATATGTCATGGCTCATAGGGACAAACACTTCCCAGAATCCAAAACACACCCCAGAATCCACAAACATTTAACAAAAAAACCAAAAACATGCCCAGACTCCAAAACACATGTCATGCTTACTGGGAGAGGTTTTCTTCTGCTGATTGAAAGTAGGTTTTAAAAATTGTTGATACCATTATTATTTCCTTGTTTCCCTGTCTGACATTTGCCTTTGTTCAATTCAAGGGCTATCAAGCCTTACTCACAAGCAACTTCCATTTTTTTTCTCTGGAATTGGTATCTTTTACACAGGACTTTAAAATACCTTATCTGTATGGCCCATGAAGAACTGTTGGTGACCTGATGTAACATCTATTGACACAATGATGGCATGGCATGGGTACACAATACATGATCCATTCTTGGTCCACAGTGCCTGTAAGTGAAAAGATTGTCACTTATTCAATAAAAAAGTAACATTTCATGTTGTTGTTTTGTTTGAAAATTACTACCAGGTATTCCCCTCACTAAATCATAAGAGACATTCACTGGATACTACGTTAAAGATTTTGATTGAATGTGGAAAGTCCATCAGCATCATTTCTTGCTTAAAATTCAGGGTATCATCTCCATTTAAAGAAAGTGAAATTATCACATTGTGTTTTGTTGCTAAATGTAAATACTGGTCTATTTTTGGGGATAATAATATATTGGTCATTTTGCAAAACTACTTACAATGTAAACCAACTGACTGTTAAACAGTTCCTTAAAAGAGAAATGGGACTAGAGTTGACATTACACTGCACATGTTTTCTAATTGTGCACAATATCATTGAGCAAAATACAGTAATCTTGTCAGTGGAGATGTAGTCTTTACATATAGAAGGGGAAAAGAGAAAACTGAAAAGCTCTTTACACTGTTAGGCAAACAATAACAGAGCCAAATTCAGAAGCTCATTAAGTTGTCTAAATTAAATCAGTTCAAAAATGCAAGTGTCCCTGATGCTTTGTCCCTGATGCTTTTTTTCCACAAAAATTGTTTACAATGCTCCGTTATTGATTAGTTTACGTTTTACCTCTGCCACTTTTTATTGCCTGTTAAAAGCAGGATTAAAAACCACAGACTACAACTGGAGAAACTGAAACAAAAGTGCAAAATAAAGCTTACCTCACGAAAAGTACCACCTCCAAAGCCTACCACTCTTTTGAGAGACAAAATTGGATCTGGTTTTAGAGTCTACAAAAAAGGCAAGAAAAGTAGATTCCATTTGATAGTTTGGGAATCTGCAGTTCTCCAGAAAGGAGGGTAATTAAATAATAAAAGTGTATTTAGTTAATTATGCTGTATTAGCAATAAATGTTCAATTACACAAAAATGAATCTACTTTTACCGTAAAGTTTCCTGCCTTAGTCGCTTTGGGTATTTCCGCTCTCTGAGACTAAGAAGTTAAACAACAAAAAAATGCTGTGTAATATGGGCCAGTGAACAAGTACACACTGTAAGGGAGGACGGAAGGTATTATTAGGAAGGAATAGTGCATAAGTAAGTAGTAGGTATGTACTTTTTAGGTAAGTGGGTATATTGGTGAGTAGGTAGGTTGCTTGGTAGGAAAATCAGGGTTCTTCAGCAAATTGAATGAAAAAGGAGAAAACTTTTACATGTGTAAGTAGGCAACAACTGATTCGATTTAAGGGCATGGCTTTTACACAGCACAGCCTGGCAGCTTTATGTAGGGGTGGGTATGGGAGGGAGGCTGCCCTGTTTTCATTGGTGGGACTCATCATTTGAGGCTCATGAAAATTGCATTTCAGTGTTATTGTATTTTGAGCAGCCTGGAAACAAATTTTAGCCATTAGGATAGCACCTTCATTTACTCACAAGTGCATTACGTGTTTGTTGTTATGAAAAAAAAAGTCTAAAGGCTGACTTAGATGGTACGATTTTTACTTAGGACTATCATGAGCGATTAACATACGTCATGACTTCACCTCAGATCATGTTGTGTGAATTAGACCCACGACATCCGTACGACACATGTGGATATCATAACTGAAAATTCTGTGCATGTGGAAGGTCGAAAGTCATGACGTATGCTAAATGTGCAGTATAGTGGTAAGCAAAATTCGTACCGTCTAAATTGGCCATAAAAGAACCAATTAAAATACAATAATTTATTATCTATGTTGGAGCAGTTGCAACCTACATAGGCATTAAGTTGGAATGTAGGCAGGTAGGTCAAAACTAACTGTTAAAAGGTGAGCAGATAGGTGGGTCGTTGGGTGGGAAGGTAAAAAAGTATGCAGGTAGATTAGTTGATGCACAAGGGAGTGGGCACTTACCATTTACTTAGAAAAACTGAAAAAATGTAGTTGGAAAATCAAATGGTTCAGGCCATTCTGTATGGGAACCTTCAGAAAATATGGGCCATGCTTTGTGAGGTGATGCAATTTTTCTATTCTTTTTGGTCTGTTAAGCTGATTTTGATATACTGTGTAGCCTGTTGTTTTCCCACCACAACAAATGTTAAGGACTTTACGATAATGCACAAGATTTCCACCTGATTGGTTTGTGTAAATGGTAAACACCCCTGTTCCCATGTAGGTAAGCATATAAGCAGGTCAGGGGGTGGATGAAAAGGTTGGCAGACAAGTAGCTAGGTACTAACTTCTGCCTTTTCTCCTGAAAGAAAAACTATCCCCAAAAGCTAGGTAAGTTTGAACTCATAGGCCAGTCAAGTGTGTGGGTGGGTAGGTAGTTATGAAGGTAGGTCGGTAGGTACGAAGTAGGTAAGTACAAGAAGAGGGTAGGCAGCAGGCCAGTGAGTTGGGGTGGGGACAGGTAGGCAAGTGAAAAGGCAGCTAACAGGTAGTAGGGAGACAGGTAGTACCCTGAACTAGAATGGACTGTGGGCAGCTACAGTGTATTACATGCTGAACCATCTGATTGCAACAAGGAAGAAATAGTACCATAAGTATAAAAGAAAAAGATTGGGCTCAAAATAAATCATACCTTTTCTCTCTCTTTAGGATGTTGAAGATTATTGACAACTTTGCTTGGATGGGCATAAACATGCACTTCACCATTGCTCTCATCTACCAAATCTGCTCCCTGCACTCCAACGGCTGGAAGGGCAGTAGGAATGACAAACTGCCGCTGAGGAACAAACATAACACATAGGTTATGACTGACTTGAGCTAGTTTCTCCTTTGCACAGTTTTCCCAGAAAGAACAAACAAACAGAAGGAAAGAGAAAAACATTTAACATAAATGCTTGAAAAAGTGCTGGCTTTAATAAGGTACCCTTCTTTAGGCTCAAAATGTTGATTTTTGCAAGCTGGAGATCTAGCTCCTCTGAAAACAGTGCTCGAGGATAGTACAATGAAAATTGAAGGGGATATGTAGGATTTCCAAAACTTAGTGACTGCAAGACATTGAAGATCAAGTACCACACACATACATGTCTTCCTACTTAAAGGCATATTCAATTTTTCCCTGGAGGCATTGTCATATCTAAGCTCTGAAAACTGAAGAATGAACAATGTGCTCAACCCCCCTCCCCCTTTAACTCAGAAAATTAATATTGACAAATATTGAGTGGTATTACCACATACCTTCTTTGTAGGTTGTTTCTGTGGATTAAGTCTGTCCACTAATGCCACTCTAGAAGCTACTGCCTGGCCCGTCTGACAAGAAAAATATGTTCATACAGTACTAAATACCGGGATAAGACTGACAAGACAAATATGTTCATACAGTACTAAATACCGGGATATAACACTGCCAAGCTTTTCTGTCTACAAAGCATAGAATTGGTGGGCAGAGAGAAAGTCAGTAAAGTCCAGTAGCCCTGGGCCAGTGGATTTTGCTATCAGGCTAATGTATTCTGTTCCTAACTTGCCCAATGGGCAAATGAAGGTTTTAAGGGAATTCAAATTACAGATCATCAAAAAACCTTTTAAGGCTAGTTGAAATGACTTTTGGGCTACTTCATGCCCACCACTGCTACAGCTTGCCTGAATGGCAAGCTGTAAAACTGACTTTCTTTGCACCCAGTAATTATTTACCTTCTCTTCATCCCTCACAGGAACATTTCCATAACTTCCTTTAGGCAGTTTTCCATTGACATTAACACGACTACGATGATTTGGCTTAATTTTTTTATCCTCGTAATGAAAGTGTTCTCTCTCTGAACTTTGATGAACTGGGACGGTCTTGTGGTGACTCAATGTAGACTTCACATTTGCTATGATTCCAAATTGAGCAACTTTAGAATCAGGGGGAAACTTGATGTAGTCATACAGCTGAAGCCAATCTTCTCCTTTTGGTAGCAAAAATGCCATTTCTCTTGGCATGGGACTGATACCTTGGTCTAGCAAACCCAGTTTCCGGGCTTCAGAAGCAGAGATTCCAGGCTGATAATCAACATCGCTAGTAAACAGTCCTTTAAGAAACATATTGGCACACAAACGAATGTTCTTCATGTATGCATAATGGCGGTTCAGGTAAACAGATAAGATGTATCGAAAGTCCAGCACCAGAACAGTCCATCGTGTCGCCTGTGGGGTCATGCCAACAAGACCTAAGATACCCAAGAAAATAATATTATTTATTATTCTAAAAATTTGTTATTCTGATTCAGAGCTGCATGACTTACAGACGGGTGGGAATTTGGAAAGATGGTTTGATGGCTGAGGGGTAAACAATGTTTGTTAATGAACAAAGAAATTGTTGATACAGAGTGAGACAAAATTATTTAATTCAATATTTAATTGAAGGCATCGATAATTTTGGTATCCTGTGCTCATAAAGGCAACAACAAGGAAAGACAGTGGAAGATCAAAAAAAGACATTTATTCTCATTTATGAGTAAAGAATAATTAGGGGAGGGGAGGGGGGCTTAATAGAGGATTTACCGTATTATTGGACTCACTACTTAACACTGACGCTTCGCCAACAGTAACCTCGTCAACAGATCCTGGAGGAGGGCTTGACACAAATGGAAATTGCAGCCACGTTGAAGTTGACTTGAACTCCTTGAACATGTTTGAAAAGGAAATCCTAATGGTCAGCCCATCATCTGTTGCCACATCAATATGCACCACAAAATATTTGCCAGGGATTGGCCGAAAGAGGCAGTAGAGATACCGCCCAGTCAATCCCAGTGATTGTGTACTAGTACGAGGAAACTGAATGAAGTTGCTGGCAGGAATTGAACCAGTAATTCTGTAGACTGTACCTTTTAGCTGCTTGTCCTAAATGGGGTTATTTGCAAAGAAAGAACAATAATTATTTATTACGTCTGCACACAGTTAAAGTTTGCGCTACTACGTAAAGCCATTAAGACGTTTTTGTTTGGGTCAGCATTTTAATTTATTTCCTATTTTAATGATATTTTTTTAAATATGTTTTTCTTCTTCATTTTTCATTGATTATAACTAGTTTTGTACATATTTAACAGCATAATCTTTAATTTCATTATACCTGTAAAGCGCTTTTGATAAGAATATGTAAACTAGTGCTATATAAGTTATTAAATTATTATTATTATTTATTATTATTAAACCTTTGCAAAGGCAGTGTTGACAGCAGTGCAAATGGTTTAAACATTGTTGGATGTACTTGTAGATATGTTTAGGTCATGAAACCCTCAGGAATTAACTCCAGGAGGCACGATGACTGGGAGTTCAGCATATAGGCAGACCAGCCAAAATGTTTTACAACAATAGGCAGAAAAACCAAAGAAGAAGGCAGCAAAGACCTAAAATTTGGGTGGTTATTATTAATTTTAATATTACTAAACCAAAGTGTTGATTAGGCGGCTGGAGTAATTATTGCCAGCTGCCAGGCCATTTTGACTGGGCTGTTCGGGACCTGCAATCTAGCAATCAAAGGTTTGAATACTGCTTGGATCACCAGCTGATTGCTTCGCCGTCACTGCCAAACAGCCCACCTGACCATGACAACATCTCTTTTTTATATACCCATGGTGCTACTGAATTTCTTTACGAAAAGCTTTTTATGTTTATACTTACCATAATAGTAGAGACCTCTCCTTCTTTGGAGCACTTCTTCCATTCTCCAATGTTAAAATGTTTAAAAATATTGACATTAGGATGTTGCCAAACTGCAAGAAAGAAAAAGCAAAGCTGCATGTTAAAGTGTTGTATCAGTAAATTTTATAACACTGTTACAATTTGTCACAAAGGAAATATTTCTCCTCGGGTTCAGCTCTGATGGGGATTGCTTTTTTTGTCCACTGAATATTACATTAGAGCCCCGGTAACTTGAACTCTGAGGGGAAATGAAAAACAGTTCGAGTTAGCGGGGAATTCAAGTTATTGGAGTTGTTGCTTAAGAAAGATAATAAAATGTACCAACATACACCACCGTTACAAGCACTGATAATGCATCATTCAAAGGCCCCGCCAAAGAGTCAGTCCATGAGGACCCAAAGTTATTTGCGGAGATTTACTGCAAGTGTCTTTCCCAAGGAAGGTGCGCAAGAATGTATCTTAGGCCCGGCAAAGGCTGAGCACTTCACCTCATTTTGATACAGAGGCCCGTGCGAACTCAGGAACAACCCCAATCATTTAGACTGGCTGAATTGATTCAGATGCCGATCTTAATTTCAGCCAAACTAAATTCAAAAGGAGGAAAATGCTCATTTTGGTCAAACTGCTCATAAAATTTGTTATAATAATTTATGCATTAGGTTTGGTACATGAACAGTTCAGCGTCTGAATCAAAGTCATACTTAAGTTGATCAAAAGATGAAATTCTTGGCCGAGCTAGGCAGGAAGAACGGCTGAGCTGTTCCAAATTGAAAACAGGCATTCCTAATTGATTCAGATGCCAAACTTTTCATGTACTTAATTCAGTGTATTAAGTTTAGCTCATGAAAAGTAGCGTCTGAACTGGACCTTAAGTTCACAAAGAACTCTCAACATATGGGCCAGACTCAGAGAATATTAGTAGTACATGTATGAGGATGACACTCTTCACTTTTGATGATTTCCCGTTTGTAAATCATACCACTATTCACAATGTCTCTGAATAACCCTATCCCCATCCATCTGTGATAATAAAGTTTTCAATGCATGGAGCAAAGGTTAGTCCCAATAAGGGGTGTCATCCAAGTAATTTAAATGCCTCAGACAGTGTTGAAGTGTCAGAATAGAGATCAAGTTTTTCATGAGAAACCCCAAACTGAAGTTTGCAGTTATGCATTTGCAGTATGTTGCCAGGATTTCAAATTATTGCAAGGCGTTCATTGTTTAGTGCTGCCATGTCATTTTTCGTCAAGTCAAGGTGCCTCACTTTGTCGCCGAAAAACATGAATACCTTATTGATTCAAGTTCAAAAATCTAGCTAGCACATTGCAGGCAGATATAAAAAACTACTCTGTGTCTTTAAACGTGAGGCAGTAGAATTTTTAGTAGCAAAAAACTTTGCCGTGAGTCACTTTGCACTTACAGCAGGAAGCCCTTCCTGCCATTCAAACCTGACACGTGACCGCAAGACCGTGGTCACATGACTTTCTGAGTTTTGCAGTTTGCATTTTCCCACGAAATACCTGACGCTAAAGGTCTCCAATGTCCCTGCCCTATGCCTTACAGGTAAAAATCGCCAAGCCATGGGGGGAGGGAGTTGAGGGGAGCAGATCACTTCCGGACGTGTGAGGAGGAGACCAGGTAGTATTTGACAAATTTTTGTTTTAAACCTTTGAGAATAATCTGGCTCGTTTGTAGTTATTTGCCTTTTAACGATACTGTTAAAAATACATAGAACCTAATGATTTTTAGACGAAAGTGCGCCTCTTGCCCAGCTGGTTAATTGGCAACAAATACTTATACATGTACTTACACTTCGACATGGTCTTCTCTCTATTTCATTTTTCTTCTTTATTACTAAATTACAGTTTTCAAAACCACCTCCAAAACAAATCTGCTCCTGTTGGTTCGCGCCATGTTTTCGAAGAAAACAAACTGAGCATGATCTCTGCTTCAGTCCGCGGACGAACACTTGCGAAGTCGCGGGCTCGCGTAGATACCCGCAAACAAAGATGGCGTCCAACAGACAACCAGTTGCTAAAGGAGGGTTATGGTCGACTCATTCGGCCCCTGTTGGTAAAGAAACGCAAAATCTACTCAAAGGTAACAAACAACTAACAAGAGATTACCCTTGAAGCAATTCAGGCTCGTAATGTCATTCATACATGCAGATATTTTAATGTTTGACAGTTATGATGGACGAATCCAAGTTGACTAATTTTCAACGGAGACAGTTACAGGAAAACATGAAAAGTAAGTCTCATCTCCCCGATGATATTGTCATTTATGTTTTATATGCATTATAATCTAGAATCTAAAAGCTATATTTGATGTCAAAAAACCCTTTTACTTGGTCAGTGTAATTATGTAAGCTTACTCAAGTAGAAAGTAAACTTAATATTACCGGTAAATTATGAGCTTTTATAACTTATTACAATCATTATAATTAATTCAAGTTCTCACAAGGCCAAGAGCTCGGACCTCATTCTTTTTGGGGCTCGTTTCCACCTTTTGGATTTCATCTCGGTCCATAACTTCAGATTAAATCGCAGAAAAGAACTTGCTTTATCATTGGGCTTAATTTTAATACAATATCTTATCAGGTGAAAAGGTTACAGAGCAAAAAATATTAAAGTAAAATGGTTTGGTATTTCATAGGTCTTGAAAATATTTCAGAAGTGAGCACAGAAGATGAGGAAGTGATATAATTATTCTTCGTTACTCAAGGAGGAATTTTGTACAGTGTATCTTCATGCACCCGTGTAATAACCACTATTAAATATATATATAAATAAATATTATGTTTAAGTCAACTCTCTTAACCGCTTAAGTCCCATTATTATTCATTCAAAATATTTTCCCGATTCTGATTTGCTAAAAGCACACGTTTAATTCACCATAACCAGTTACTGATGACCACATTTGGAAGAATTTTGTGTTTAACGAGGAAAGGACATAAAAAATGCAGCATTTTCGCAGGTTAAGGCACCGTTAACCGAAAAGACCTGGGGACGAGGTTGAGTTGTTTTGCTTGTGAACTTGAAAAATGGCGGACATTTCACTTGTTTCAAGAGTGAGAACTAGGCGAAAAAAATAGCTAAAAATATGGCAGGAACAGCAAGAAGACAACTCGAAGGGCGACATCTGCTATTTGGAGAATATTAATTTGCAGAGCTGCACAAACCTAAGCGTGCACTATCGAAGATGAACTTAATATTGATGGATCGATGGAGGTAAGCATGTTTTAGCCATGTTTTTAAACTAGGAATTATTTTGAATGAATAATAAAACAATTATTGAATTCGGCTTTCGTATCACATGAAGAATTATGGAGATTTCGAAGGGTGTTATCCACCTTGGCCTACAGCCTCGACGGATTAACACCCTCCTCGATCTCCATAATTCTTCACAAGATACTCAGCCTCATTCATTAATTGTTAAATAGTGACCAAGATCAATTTTCTCCTAACAATATCCATACACTGTCAAGAGATAAGTCATGGGAATTGAAAAAAGACGGGGCAAAGGATCCAAATATGAATTTTAATATATTTTAAAAAGATTTATAGAGAAGTGGGATAAAGTTTTTTAAATGTGACATTTCCTTGTTAACTCTGCTGTTCAAATTTCAGGAGGTGAATCTCTTCCAGTGTCATGTAATCCTACCTCAAGTAGAAGTGAGAGAACTCAACAGAATAGTGCACCTAAGAAGCCCTTACCCAAGGTCATGAATGCAAGGCACCTCTCTGGTGGAAAGCGATCAAAAGATACAATTGATATGCACAGGAGCAGTGTTCCACAGGAGATTTACAGACCTTCTCCAGGCAGTATGTTCATCTTAGCTATCACTTATAGGCCTTTTGCATTAGTTGGTCACATGATCAACTTTCTGTTAACACAAAAACAGTTAGCTTTAGAAAAACGATTTTAGCAGGAACTGAGAGAGCATATTAAAACTAGGTAGCCTATAAATTTTCAGCTATATATCTCAAAAGTAGAAATGAAAGAAATAGCGGAAATCTGAAACTATTAACCTTTGTACAGTTGTACGGTTTTTAGGGGTAATTATTAAAGCTACAACTGCTAAGAATGATAACAGTGTACAAATGGCTTACTGAATTAATTTATGCCAGAGGTAGATAAGACATCAGAATGAATCGGGGAAAACAGTTTGTAAAGACATGGCCAGAGAAAAAGATCAACTATCTGCTCAGTTTATGTAATGAAAAAACACTAGAATAGTCCCCCCCCCCCTCTTCTCCTACCATCAAACATCCTGTTGACAGCATGGGACAGACATTGAGCAGTTCTTTTCTTCTTTGCAAAAACATTCTGTTAGATGTACCTCAAACACCTCATTAAAAAGGTCTTTTTTACTTCCCATTTCCTGGAGCAAGAGGGGATGGGAAAAAGAGAGACTTTGGAAACATAGTTAATGCATTACATTGGACTGTGTTTTCAGAAAAGCCAGGCAAGATAAAGCAAATCCTGTGTTATGAATGGCTACCTGAGTGGGCAAGATAAACCCACTTGGAATTTCCCACATTGTTCCTGCAAGAAAGAGTTTGTTTTTGGCCATGTAATAAAACCTTTGGTCAAAATGGCTCAATGTTGGCCTCTCTTATTTTTTTGCACTTTTTACTGACCTTGAAAAATGCAAAAATACTTTGACCAATAGTTCAGTCATCTTGACCTCAAACTTAAAATGTTATTTGCCTACCTGTTTGGTCTTTACAGCAAGTGTGGAAGCAGAATGTTGAAAAGTGAAATGTCTGATGTTGACTAATGTATATGTTCCCTTATAGAGTCTATTTCAGAGCAAGATAAAAGGAGGCTTCAAAATGTTATGGCCTATGGAGAGGATGGAAAAAATATTGAGGATATACCAAAGCAAAGACGACCTTCTCCTACAGCAAGGGCACAAGAAAAAGAAATTGATCGGTTTGATGAAGGTAAATATGACTCTGCCCGCTTTGTTTAATTTCCTATACAGTCTCGCTTTGTGTCAAACATTTCATTATTAAATTAAGGTAAAGTTTGTACATAAACATTAATTTTATTGTTAATTGTGTCCACTTAATAAACATGCTGTGCTTGATTAG